TTTTTAACAATACGCTGACATGTAATGGACCAAATGAGTTCATGTAGAATACAATTGGCAGATGAACAATCAATGAACATATGCTGATATTTGTGATTTATTGTCTATTCCAGAGATCCGCACAGTTAAGGAGCTTCCATCTGGTAAAATGTCCCATGTTCAGTCTTCTCCTTTATGGAAACCCATTCTGCGACACGGCTTGTGTGAAACAAGAGAAACTACTCAGGCTAATACCCCCACAGACCAGGTACTGTCCATTTTACATCAACATATATAGCATTTCCATTCTCTCAGCTGCTAGGTGTTGCTCTAATACTATGTATATTTTTTGTGGTGTAGACAAATGCATGGACTCTGGACGAGTTGATGAGCTTCCTGGAGGACTTCGCCATTTGGAACCCTTCTCTGGAGCCCACAAACTGTAGAACAAAGCTGATGAAGACCCTCATGCAATCCTGCAGAAAACAGCCATTGAGGAACGAGATTGCCTCTGGGTTGAAGACAGACCAAGCTGTGAATGCCATTTGGGCCGCCATGGTATACCACACACCAGCCCTCAACCATGCCCTGAGGATCTATGGTGAGGCTTGGCTGCAGTCATGGTCCAAAGAGCATTTTTCAATTTCTCTCTTTGTTCACTCGTTTGAGTATTACTCTCTTCTGTTTTGTCTTTGCATGAGTAGTTAATCAAGACTGCAAGTCCTGTCTGAGCGAAGAATTTGTGCAGGCGTATGCATTTGCAGACAGCATCAGAACATGGATGGTGAGTTTTACTGACATGACTCATCATTTTGTTGATTATCTGCCTCTGAGTTTATATCTCATCATGATGCTGAAATATTATGCTGATGTAATTTTCCTGTCAGTTGGAGATGAAACAGAGATACCTGGTCAGCAAAATGAATGTTCCTGACGACAAAGAAGGGGGTCATGATGAGGTTAACATGGAGACACTAGGTAAGGACTACACCTTTCTTTACACCAACTATGTTATATCTTTGATATCAAAGTGTTACATTTAAGAATTGTAATTGGTGTGGTTATAGAATAAGTAATCCATCTTTTTTTTTTCTTCTAAGGGTTTGCAAAACTTTAATTGACAGCCATATACATTTGATTTATTTTATTTACTGAAATGATACTGAAGTGTTCAGCTGTATTTTCTTGGAAAAGTTTTACATTTTGAATATCTGCAGATACACAACAATAAAGAACTCTGATCAAAGGCAACAAATGTAATCGTGACACCTCTAATTATTTTTGCTCCCTCCTTATTTTTCTTGCCTCTAGCCGAGATGTGCATTGAGAAGAGCCTGTTGCTCTTCAGATTCACCCCCTGCGGAGTCCCATACCAGGAAAAGGACTCTTCCAGAGCTGCAGAGGGCAGCAGTGCTCCACTGTTCCGCTCCTGTTCCATCTCAGAAGCAGACTTCCAGGCCAGCTCGTCTCAGGGACCTCAGGCTGCGGGGTCTGAGGAGGGGGTCGATGCCAGGGCCGGACAGAGCCAGCCCCCCGGTGCTCCGGCACAAAGCTCATTATCGTGTGGGCACGGCCGACAGGGCCACATAGGCTCCACAGAGAGCCTCTCCTCCCAGTCAGGGGAGCCAGCCTCCCCCTCTGCTGTCCCCCGTAAAGCCCCATTCAGCCGGGCACGCCTGCGCCTCCTGTCCTGTCGATCGATAGAAGAGCCCCGTATGACCCCCTCTATCAAGGATCGCTACCCAATAATCAAACACATCCTGAACTTTATAAAGGACCAGGCTCTCACAACAGCAAGGTGATTGATGTCAAGGGTTGTTTTTAGTATTATTCGTTTTTGTAATTGTTCAACACAGAGTTAACTCATCCAACTCTTTCTCCTGTAGCATTCTGCAGACCCTGTCCCTGAGCAAAGCCCAGGCTGTGAGTGTGTGCAAAGTTCTGGAGATGGTTCAGCAGTGTTTGCATTCTCTCGGAAAGCCACACCTCTTCCAGGCTCCCTGCATCCTGTTCCTACAGGAGCTGCTGGCATGCCAGAAAGACTTCACCAGGTAGACCTGTAGAAAAGATTTAGATTAATGTGGAACAACAGTAAATTGTATGGGTTGTATGTTAATATTCAAGGAGGAAAGCTCTGAGAGATTATAGCGTCCTTAGCTTCTGTACTGTGACCTTTGCCCAGTGAAACAGAAGATTTGAGTACAGCTACAAAATCAAATGCTTCACATTTTATTATAGCAATAAAAAGTGGGCCAGCTTGAGGACAGAGAGCTGCATCTCCACACTCAACTCCCAAGTCACTTACATAAGCCCATGTACTACTTTGTTGTAAAGAAAAGAAAGATGATTGGATTTTGATATATAAATAAATACTTATTGGTAAGCAAGTCAAAATAATTGGTAAAAGCATTTTTTTCTTAGTCTGTTAAACATATCAGAAAGAAGTGTTTGTTGTTGTAATACTCATTTAGGCCACAAGAGGCTGAAGGGCATCATTACCATAGACCAGTGACCATCAACTGGCGGCCCGCGGGCCAAATCTGGCACGCCAGACATTCTCATCTGGCAAGTGCTGTGGCGCTGGCGGAGTGGTTAGTGCGTTCGCCCCCCACTCATTTTTTTTTTTCTCACAACGTCTCATGAGTAATGTGCAGTACTGGAGTCCAACAGAGAGGCAGCAGCTGCGGGACAGTAGCCTGCGTACTGCGTAGCCTTCCCTGCCCTGAAGAAGAAGTGATCCGTCGTTAGCGTGAAGAGTCTATAGGGCTATATAAAAATCGCTGTCTCTAGGAATTATTTTGGCCCCTTGGACAAATGTAGTGATCCCTGCCAATGACGGTATACCTCTATATAAATCACAACAAACAAAGCAATAAATAACCTTTTTGACCGGCCACATTTTTTGTATTTCCAGCAGTTTGATGAATTTTTTTTAATAAACTTAATAAGATATAAAATAACAATATAGATTTGTTTAGTAAATGCTCAAATATGTTATATGTACTTGACAACAGTATTGGAGGTGCCAGATGTATGTATCTTACAAAATGCTGTATGTAATTCACTCATGATCCTCTTTTACTCCGTTCTTTCCAGTTATTTCTCTCAGTTGTCAGACAGCGGGCAGAAGCTCGGAGAGGAGGTGAGGCGTTCCTACCATCAGCTGGTGCTCTTGCTGGTGGATGCAGTACAAGGCTTCAGTAGCCTCAATGAGAAGTAAGTTCTTATTCACTGAAATCAAAAAGCTCTTATTCAGTGTAATTCTAAGTGTTTGTCCAGTGGTGTAACCTGTCATTTACCCCTGCTCTCAGAGCCCTGCTCCCCGCCCTGTCCTGTGTGCAGACCGTCTTGCTGCACCTTTTGGACATGAGCTGGGAGGTTCACGACCTTCCTCTCTTCCTGGATATAAAGCTACCGGACCTCCTGCTCAGCATGTCCCAGGAGAACATCAGTGTTCATGACATCGCTATCAGGTAATCTCAGAGTCATCTCAGAAATAAAATACACAGTGGAAATGAAGTGCTTCCCGTTCATTACAATTATTAAGCACATACACAAAGCTTTCCTTTTGACAAATCAGTAGTTTTGCAATATGCCTTGTGAGTCTATTCATTTGAAATACCTTACAATATTTTAAGCAGTGTGTTAGCTACTAAAATAGCAGAGATGGTACAATGATACGATCCTGTGGTTTGAATTTGTCTTCAGTCAATGGACAGAGGAGGATGAAATCGCAGACTACAAGAAGAACCAGGAGTGGATGGATGAGTGCATGGACGGGATGTTTGAGAAGTGGTATGACAAAATCGATGAAGAGGACTCCATGGAGGACAGGAGAAAGGTACATCACAGTCCAATAACTAGAAAAACAAGGGAAATTGTCTGGTTTCTGGGGAGACAAATAGCACTTAACCTGACTGCCCTGTCCTTAAGCTACAGTATGTGCTCAAATTAGCATACTGTTATTCTGTTGTTTAGTCTTGTACCATTAAGGCTGCAGCCAACCTTTATATCCATTAAGGGTAAATCTGATGAATATTTAAACTTTAAAGTAATTATTTGGTCTATAAATGTCAGATAGTGGTGCAACATTTAAAACCATGTCTTTTATAGACCAAAGTGATGTTGTTTTTTTCAGGCCAAAACCCAAAGAAATTAGATTAGATTCAACTTTATTGTCATTGCACAGAGTACAGGTACTAAGACAACGAAATGTAGTTTGCATCTATCCAGAAGTGGAAAACAGCAGAAAGTGCAGAGTTGTTCAAGTACAATATGAATATATATATAAACATGTTACGGGTATAAACAGACTGAATGTATTTACACTATGAACATTATGAGGAGGTATAAATATTTTTAACAGCAGTATAGAAATAAGAAAGGTATACAAATATACAGACATTGTCCACAGAATAAATGTAGACCCTTATTGACGTTTTGAATTTCAATAACGGTAATGTAATTAAATATAACATAAAAAATAAATCAAATAATTAAAATATATGAGGCTTAAAAAAATGAAATGTTCATGAAAAATGCTAGGTTGGTGATTGTTTTACCTTCGTTTGACTAATCCATTTGTTGACTTATCACTGCAGCTCACCACTTACACTAAGCTAAGATGTATGCAGGTGTTTGCTCACCATATATAGGAGCTTATTGTTTATAATAATACCGTGTACTTACATGTACCTGCTTTTATCCACAGATGCACATGTTCATCGCACGTTATTGTGACCTGCTCAATGTTGTCATCTCCTGTGACGGCTGCGAGAGGATGGCTCCCTGGCACCGCTACCGATGTCTGCAGTGCATGGACATGGACCTCTGCAAGACCTGCTTCCTCAGTGAGCTCACACACTCCACGGCACCACTCACACAGTCACTTATTGTAAGTTAGATAAAAGCAGAACCAAATGTGTGTTTTTTTACCAGGTGGTGCCAAGCCTGAGGGCCATGAGGACGACCATGAGATGGTGAACATGGAGTATGCATGTGACCACTGCCAGGGGCTCATTGTAGGCAGCAGGATCAACTGCAACGTCTGTGAAGACTTTGACCTGTGCTTTGGTTGTTACAATGCAAAGAAGTATCCCGACAGGTGATGCATTTAAAGTGTCTTATTCTGTTTTAAACACATTTTAATCACTGACCTCCGAATTGTTGGCTTAATGGTTTTTATCATTCCCATCTCTAGCACCTGCCCACCCATCGGATCACAGTCTACCCCATGGTGACAATACGAATCAGTGACCGCCACCGCCTGATCCAGCCCTACATCCACAACTACTCCTGGCTACTTTTTGCTGCCTTGGCTCTCTACACGTCAGAGCTTAGCAGTCAGAAGCAGATGGAGGGCGAGTCTTTAGACAGCAACACCTTGAGCCAGGCCTCATCTCTGCAGACACACTGCTCCCAGCTCATCACTGACTGTTTGCTAAAGGGGCAGCCTGGAAAAGGTAAGTTCAAACCAGAAATTCGTTATTGAAGGACTCGTTCCACATTTTGGAAAATACACTTGTTTTGTTAATTTATTGCTGATACCTGGATGAGGAGTCTTTAATCTAAGTATCAAACTAAAGCCAGCAGCAGGTTATTTTAGCAAGACTAGATGCAAGGCAAACTACTTGCGTGGCCTCCTTTGCCAACCAGACTTGTGTTGATTGCTTCATGTAACTGAGCACAAACACTTAAAGGTCCCATGTCATGCTTTTTCCGGTTATTACCCGTCCCCTTGTGTGTTATGAAGGTTTTTATGCATGTAAACGGTCTGCAGAGTCAAAACCCTCAAAGTACACCCTGTAGCGAGTAAAACTCTAACACAGAAAATACCTCCCCGGTAATTGCGGTCGACAACACTGCAGTGTTGGCACCGTTCGAATGTGGGCGGAGCACGCCGTGAAAGAAAAACAAAACAATTGGAAGGCGATAAAAAGGCGTTGTATACCATTGGCCTGGAGCATTTTCGAAAAAACATGAGATTGTTAAGTACTTACCTCTCGCTACAACAACAACACTCGACCTTCAAAGGACTAACGCTATTTGTAACTAGTATCCGACGACTCCTACCGGTGTTTTAGCCCAGTTCTTAATCAACTTGCAATGTCCCAATACGGTCGACTCGATTTACGAGTGGTCTCTTGTCACTTGAACGGGATCAGCTGACTCGTTATATCTTTTTTCAACCTTCACTCTTGATTCATTCGGGTTTTTACTTAAGCAGCCTTATAGAAATAACTTAAAATGGTGAAAAATTATACAACACCGAGCAGTGGTATAATGGTTTATCTGATTACATGTGCCGGGTTATTCAGTAGTACATGTTCACTTTTAATTGTTTTTCCTGGGAAAGAAATAAATATTTGTCATTTAATCAATGTTAAAGAATGTCTGAACACTAAACCTTGTTACTAACAATGATTAATGTACAAAGAAAACTTGGTTTATTTATAACATTTAACCTTACTGAAAATTTTACATAATGAGCTACGCTTTGGTAAAATCTTGGGTCAAGGTTCGACGGTCTGAATACAGCTTAAGATGTCTAAACCGGTAACTTTAGGGACTATCCGCCGGAGGGCGCAAAGTCCCATTTCAGAAGGCCATGAGCCGAATGTCGTCGTACGGTCCGTCGCCCTGAAGACTAAAAACCGGCTCCATGTGGGTCGTGGTTGCAATGTTTGAACAGTCATTTCGACCTATAGCTATGCAAGGATTAACTTTTTTTCTCATATGTCGCTACATATTTATTCATGTAAACCTCTTCTTTATTTTTACAATACATCGGTGAATAATACATTGTTACCAATGTTCTGCAACCGAATATTGGTACTATAAAACATAACTAGAACATGTTTTAATTTGATACTCCACAGTACTCGAGAACTCGTCTTGTAGTAGGTCTTGCGAGAGATGATATAAAGGAGTGTACGACAGTCAACAAAGAAGAAGAGGGTTCGTAGGTCAAACTGTGAGACGCTATGTGTCTTTTTATTTTCGGTTCGACAAAAACTGACGACTTCTTCTCAAATTAGCCAGTAGAAATTTCACATGGTATAGACATCGCTGATTTCTCAGTTAATATCACTTTGTCTTCGACCGTTTACCCGTCAACCAGTTAGTTATAAGATGCATGACAATCACCCGGTGAGTTGACGGAGCACACAACCACGACAAACGATCAACCTTCGTATGCGATAAAGTCACAGGTTTGTGACTCTGTCGGAAGAAGATACTTTCGGACGCCGACCGATTATTACGGGGACCAAAGAGCAGCCACAGAAGATAGACGTCTCAGGACGGTGCCAGACTAAAGTGTTCCTGGGCGAGGGCGGGGCGTCGGGCACTCGCAACGTTAATGGCTTGGACGGGGCGATGGGCGTTGTATACGCGTTAAGATCAGCAGGCGGTTGGGTCCAGCAATTCACACAACTCCGGAGACAGAGTCACACACCTGTGACTGTTACTCCCGCCATAGAAGTTAATGTTTTGTTGTTGTGTCTCGTGCAACTACCGGGTGCAGACTGTGTCATTTCACAGTTATACCTAACTGGGTTGACGGATAACGTCGAAACAAAGTACTATTTATGAATCAGCGATGTCTACTACCCCCCGCCTTTCTATGGTAATTTGAGAGCAAAGTCGTCAGTTTTTGTCGGACGAACACATCAAGAAAAAGACACATACGTTCGAGTACAAACGAACCCTTTTCTTTGTTGGATGTGTACACTCCTCCTCTTTATAATTCTCAGCGACCAGATACTAGACAGTCGTCAGTACATGTTGGAGTATAATAAACACATGGTTCATTTTATGTTGTATAGTACAAGATATTCGGTTAAAACAATTGGTAACCGATGTGATTATGCACCGCATCGTATTGGTAAAATAAAAAAAAAAAAAGAGGTTATAGTAGTATATTAGACATATTGCAAAAAAGAAGTAATCCTTCATAGCTATAATAGTCGAATAAGCTGTCAAACGAAGCAGCCACGACCACATGAGCCGGGTTTTTAGTGCATCAGGGGCCGACGGCACGTGACACGACCGATTCGGCTCTATGCTTCTGACATGGGACTCTGGCGGCCCCTCGCGCGATAGTCCTAAAGTCTACCGCTTTAAGACATTAGCACGTAAGTCTTCAGCTACGGTCGGACTTGACCACATTTTTACCAAAGCGCCTCTGCATTTATTCAAATGTTCTCATGTTAGTAAATGTTTCACAATTAAAAAAGGTTCTTTGTTACATTTCATATGTGTTGTAAAGGTTTTAGTGTCAAACATTCTAACATGATTAAATGACAACGTATTTATTTTTATTCCCACAGAAACAATTAAAAAGGAACCATTGTAACTAAGAAAGCTACCGGTCGACGATCGTACTCAGATAAAAACCCATATGCACACGGCTCGGTTAGTTTATGTAATTTTCGAGCGCATTTTACTATTTCTCATACAGTCGTGAGCAATCTAAGTAAAAAAACCGCAATGGAGACTCATAGTGAAGTGTGTCGACAAATCATATAAAGTCTAGTGGATACCGTTCAAGTGACCAAGAGAACCACTCCGTGAAATTCGAGTTCAGACCGTATTTGTGGGACATAATTGATTTAAAGACTGCGAGCGCTAAAGCCACGTGTTTAGAAGGCTCGGTGGCATACGTAGTTACAACGATATCGGTTAGCTCCTTTTGTAAAGTGTCGGTGTTGTCTGTGTACGCACGCAGGAGGGGTAAGTAACTTACAATCTATTTTTTCAACATCGCGTTCCCAAGGCCATGCTGTCATACAACTCGCTCTTTAGTCGCCTTCCTTATGTTTTGTAATAATAGATAAAGTCATAGAGAGAGACTAAGAAAACAAAAACCACAAAGGTGCACACATAAGCAAGACGTGATTCGACAACACAATTAATACCCGACCAGAGAGAGACTTCTGAAGAAGCGATGGCTCGCCTTGATTGTGCCTTTCCAAAACAGATAAATAAAGATAAAATAAACACAAAATAACATACCTTTCTAGTAACCTACACAAATTATAAGTTACTTTTGTCACCTTTCACTACTTCCGACCTAAATAGATTGTGTCTTATTGCAAATAAACCTGTAAAGTCCCTGAACATTCCTAACAAGTTGTTAAAGCGCATTTATACGAATTTCAACAAGGGTAACAGTACCGGTAAAGGTGACTTATATAAAGGTTAACACTCCGGAAATGACTTATCTCAAATATAACACGTTAAACAAGAGGTTTTAGTGAAACCCGAACACATTTGATCGCACATAAGTCGACTTAAAGTTGAGAGCCGGACAATTGCCGAGCAAACATCGAGGTTATCGAGTGGGGGGTGGGAGGACACCTTCGCTGTCACACGAAGACTAACGCCTGCAACACCTGTAGCGCGACCTCGAGGCACCATAGCCACACCAAAACGGACAAATCGCTGTTCGCTTTGTGTTCGGTTTTGGTGGGCTCCGTGTGCGTTTTCAGTGTTCGCGCTCTCACTGTTGCTGTTATTCACACCGAACATAACGTCATCTTTGCATTTCCACTATTTGCGACTCTACCCCAGCACGTCTCTCGTAAAAACGGGGCGCTAAGGTTGACAGACAATAAGTCGGACGTCGGCTTCCCTCCTCTTTAGTCGTCTCGACGTACGTCGATTTCACCACACACTCCTCAGGACACCCTGACCAAGTTAAACCTCGGGTGTTAAGTGCGCCCGCCGAATTGCATTGCCCCGAGGCCCCTGCCACCTTGGAATTGCCGCAAGGGTGCCTGAACCAGGTAACCAACCGGCCATGTGCGTCTGTAGTCACGCCATGCGGGCCCTTCTGTAGTGCTACCTGTCAGGCTAGCGATGAGAGGTCTTGTGGTGGCG